CGTGTGTATGATTATATCATTTTTATTTCTACGCTAAATTCTAAATAAATATAAGGCGTAACGTTCATACATACAACTCGGTTATGTGTTTCCGCCCTTACAAAGAATTTGTACTGACAGAACGATACTGAAGCGCGACTTTACTTTTTTTATGTACGAATAGAATTTTAAAAACAATAATATCTTTTTTTTCAGCGTTTCAGGAGAATTTCAGTCAAAGTCAAAGCATTTATTTCAATTAAACCATAAACTTTTGAAACGTCAACAAATACAAAATAAATAATAGTCTGTCAGTCAGTCCGTCAGTGAAATTAGGTGAAGCTAGGTGCTCATTCCAAAACGTAGATGAATGGAGAAGAACGAGCAAGAAACTCTATTCGTTACTCTTTTTTAAAAAAGTATGTTCTACAATGTCTCTGATACATATTTCAATACTGTACGCATATGTAAGAACAATGCAAAGACACGCTTGACGCATTATACTAATAACTTACTAAAATAAAAATAAAAATAATAAAAATCTTAAGTCTAACATGGTGCTCACATATGCATACTGACAATCCATAGAAATAGTGCTTCTATACAAGAAAAAGGAAAATTTTTTGTTTCAATAAAGAAAGAAATGCTCGATGCCATAAGGAAACTAGATTGTCTACATTAGAATTAAAGTATTAAATTATGTATTTATTACCTACTGACTACATTTGAGTATTGTCCAGTGGAGCCGAACCAACATGCTGCCAAGCATTCTTCTTCAGTTACACTCTGTATATTATATCTCTGTATATAAATTAGAACCGGGTTTTTAGTTTTTTAAGTATATGTTATGATACGTACACTCTCCAGTTGCCTTCTAGTCTCTAGTATCCTCCTGTTGAGTTCCTCCCTCCTCCTGGCGGCTTCAGGGTCCACCATCTTGGACGGGGTGCGCGGCGCGGGGGACGGACGGACCGGCGGCGCGCGGGACAGGTGCTGGGACGACAGGGACGTGTTGCCTGGAACGGAGAAACAAATTAAAATGAGTTAAAAGAAAAGTAAATAAGAGATTGCTCGATGGTCGAGTAGACTTTACATTGAAATAATATACAAGTGACAAATGAATTTATTTCTACAAATAGACTACAAGGCAGCACTTTTACACGTCAATTTTATCAAGCGAACGATGAGGCCGACATTTCCTAACTGACTACTCTATGCCTTTAGCCAGACGCCACTTTAGCGCTTGTCTACAGAGAGAGTAGAAAACTAAATGTATGGAGATGACACTGACAAGTGTCAAAATTTACGTCAATTCCATATAATTTGGTTTTCTATTCTACATGTAGACAAGCGCTAAATGGTATTTGGCTACAGCTGCTGAAAAGAAATGCCGAAACCTCAGAGGTCCGTATACATAGACAGTACTATTTCTTGCGCTCATGGGCGGCGCTGAATGCTTACCATCAGGTGACCCATCAGCTCGTTTAACATAAAAACAAAAAGTCAAAAGTATCTTACATGTTGTCTGCTTACCCCCAGTGAGAGTAGCATCCATGTCGGCCGCGCTGAGACTGTCGAAGGCTGACTTGATATATTTCTCGCGCCGCCCCGCCGTGTCCAGGGACTCACATGAACCGGATAATGGGTTGCGTTCCGTATTGTCGCCTGATGGAGTTGATACCTGTGGGAAAATATATTAGCTTTATCATCAAACTATGGAATGTCTCTTCCCACCTTTAGTGAGGCGAAAAAAACGTGTTGCCGGTATACTGAAACGTTAATCAATTTTAAGTCGTGCTCAAATATCGTGCCATCTCTGTCATTTTACAAAGAATTTGTAGAGATAGAACTATACTTAAGCACGACTTAAAATTGAGTAGCGTTTCAGTATTCCGACATTAGACTCTTACTGACTAAACACCACCCCGTTCCTACTCCTGCATAGAGCCAGAGCCGTGGTAACCTGTAAGGTCAACCGCGCCTAGCATGCAAATCCTGTAGCGTACCAGGAAGATTGACTAGCGATTGAGCATTAATCACCACGCTTGCTCAAGGCGGATTGGCAAATTCAAATCAATAATTAGAAATTATAAGTCCATTTTTCCTCAGGTTGTTTTCCTTCACCGTTTGTCAGTGGTGTCTAAATAATCTTAGAAAGTACATATAACTTGGAAGAAGTCACATTGGTACTTATCAGGTTTTGAAACCATGAAAGCCAATATTTACCAAATAACTTGTGCATCTACAACGCCATAAAGTTTAAATTCCTTCATCAACAAAAAGACCAAATTACCCTAATCATCATGAGAGGTCTGTAGCATACCAGTGAGACAGAATATTGGCTCGAATCAAAAACCAATGTCCACCTTACATCCAACCACACTAAGGTCCAAATTACCTCATCATCCTAAATTCTGCGGTGTACCACTAAGATCAATTACCGACTTTAATGACAGACCAATCTCAACCTTATACCAACAACACTAAAGTTCAAATTACCTCGTCATCATCCGAGTCCTGTGGAGTTCCAGTAAGTTTGGCGTGTGGCGGTGGCAGTTCGAGTCTGGTCTCGCCCGTCCATCGCTTGGAGCGACGCATAGACTCTCGGAGCTCGTCCGCGTCCATTGCATTCACCATGAACTCTCTACAAGGTCAAAATGGAGTTTAAATTAAAATGTCACTTGCTGCTCGGCTCTTATCGGTCATAGCATGATGTTTTATAGCATACAGCCTTCCTCGATAAATGTACTATATAAACAACACAAAAAGAATTGGGAAGTTCGAAAAAGTATTGAATTTGACTAGTTGGCAATTACCCAATTATTCAAATCGAAGTCGTAGTTTCGGAAGAAAAATATCTTTAACAGATTGCTTCACAAATCTAACTAAAAATAGGTAAAGGACTTATGAAAATCCCGTTATTATATTTTTATTATAAGTATTTATTTTTTAAAAAAGTTCTGGGTGCGTTTACCAACATACAAGTTCACATGCACATGACACACAGACCCGGAACAACAATCTGTGGATCACACAAAGAGTTGCCCCGTGCGGGAATCTAGCCCGCTGCACGTTGCGTGGCAGCCGGATGCCCAGGCTTCGCGCACAAACGTGCAGTGTCCTTTATGTATTTCACTGCCGATAGAAATCCATTTGACCTCTTGACTGCCGGTATATGTATAAGACACTTATGGGACGACGTGCTCCATCGTAGGCGGCATCAGCGCTTACCACCAGGCGAGATACTGGTCAAACGTCGACCCATCAAATATAAAAAAGAAAACAACAGAAAATGCATTATGTCTCGCGTGGATCTGCGTTACGACGTCCGATGGGTTACAACAAATTCTCCATAAAAAAGTACTAATATAAAAGTAAAAATCTAAAACACATTATTTGCATATCACAACTCACCCAGGCGTCTCATCATCATTGTTGCCAGGATAATAGGTAGGTCTGTTCCCTCGCTCCGAGGACGAGGTCCTCTCACCGTCAGATATGTCCTCGATGTCACCGTCGTGCTCCGTTGACTCCTGATCCTGCATCAGAACAAAATACGAGTGATAACAAGGTGTTAAGTGTGGGAGAGCCATACTTCGGCACGAATGGGCCGGCTCAACTGGAGTGATACCACGCCCGTGCAGAAGACCGACGTGAAACAACGCCTGCACGTGAAGCAACGCCTATCGTCTTGTGACGAAACTCAACCCAATCTCCCCAATCTCTTCATTCCCGACATTCCTCAAATTCCTAATCTCCAACAGGCCGGTAACGCACATGTAACGCCTCAGATGTTCCGGGTGTCAATGGGCGACGCCAATTGCTTACCATCAGCTCTGCTCGTTTTCCGACTTATCCCATAAAAAAATTAATCAAAATCGTTATTATCATCATCGCAAGATGTCCTGCAGAACGTAGGCCTCGCCCAATAAATTCTAGATAAGCTGGTTTCTGATCATTGGCTGACATCGTAACGCCTGTTTCACATTGAGGTAGACAGATAATGGAATATCCAATGTATACGATCATGACCTGCTAGGCTTGAAGTTATTATTTTTAAATATAGTTTATATAAGAATTATATAACCTCTTTTGCTAGATATATCATCAAGTTTAAAAAAATATTTGGAAGTAAATTTATTTTAATATATTGCGTCTTGATAAGTACAGATTTTCTCGAATAGTTCAGAGGGAAAGCAATCGCAATGAGACCGCGTTTAATGCTCGGATTGGTTGGTTCATTAGAGCCGGCCAATCATAGCGACAAACGCGGTCTCATTTCGATTACTACGTAAAATAAATTCGTACTAAGCCCTCAAACACATTTTTACATTAAATTCGATGCCTTAGTTAACTACACAGAGTTAATAACAAAACAATTAATAAAATTAATGCACAAACCAGTCAAAAATATAAAAAACAAATATCACACCTCATATTTAAAACTGCCAAGCGAAGAATCGTCGGTGTGGTGTCGCGTCCGCGCCTCAGGCGTGCGACTTTTCGACAAATTAATCGTAACCTAACGTTGACGAAACAAAAAAAAAACAAAACTTAAATAAAAGAAAATATAAAAAAAACATAACATAACATCACGCCTTTTATCCCCGAAGGGGTAGGCAGAGGTGTACATTATGCCACTGTACAATGTAACACCCACTTTTCACTATTTATATTATGAGTCCCATGTAATAGGGGGTGAGCCTATTGCCATATACCGGGCACAATTCCAGACTCCGTGCTACTACTGGGAATTTTTTTTTGAAAAACCCAGTAATACTTTGCCCGACCCGGGAATCGAACCCGAGACCCCTTGCCCGGCAGTCGCACTTGCGACCACTCGGACAATGAGGCATATAAAAAAAAATAAGTATAATTATGTTCTTGATAGATAGATTCGCTGATATTTCATAGATTGATAGATAATCACCATTACTATTTAGGTGGGAACTGATTGACATTCGTCGAATTGATTAAAAATAAATAGATGAGTAATAATATAATTACTGAACAAGAGGCCTTAGGTCCCAGGACAGAAGCACCACAATCTGCGGCGGTTTTTAACCGCGCAATTTGTAAACCAAGAAACCGAATATATACGGTTTCGACTTACACCTGTTTTTCAGTACTATTAAAAAGGGGGGTAGGTGTTCCACCCTAGTGCGTCCGCGAGCTTAGATTTATCTCACATAAGTTAAAAACAGTTTTCTGATCTTTCAGTAGTAATATTCTCAGTAGAAATGTGTTTTTGGAAATCAGCAGTGATGGTTTCGAAAACCAACACTCCGAACTATTTTGTCTGATTTAAAGTTAGCCATGTTAAACTTTAACTTTTTTTTAAAATCTCGTCAAACTTCATCGTTTGGTGGCAAGATGCGCTATTGAAAATCGCTAAACTAGAGAATCTATCAAAAACATTATTATACTTCAACAACAGACATGCATGTAAAATTGCGAAAAAATAAGCAAAATACAAAATGATTCCGTTAGTAAATATATAAGGTCAAAAACCATCACTACATAGTATAAAATTCTTCTATCCTTACTAATATTATAAATTGGAAAGTGAGTCTGTTTGTTTGTTTGTTCCGATTTCACGCCGTAATTACTAAACCGATTGCTTTGAATTTTGCAGACGTAAAGTTAGAAGTCTGGATTAAATAATAGGGTACTTTTTATCCCGGAAAAATTTGATATTCTCGAGGGAAAACAAAAGTATTGGTATAGATGGTGCTGTGTGTATTGGTATATGTCACATAGGCTACGTTTTATCCTTTTGTGACGTAAGCGAAGCCGCGGGTAAAAGCTAGTTATATTATAAATACCAAAGCGTGTATGTTTGTTTATTACTCTATCACGACTAAACGGCTAAAGTCGGGATGAATTACTAAATTAACTAAAAACACGGGTTACTCACGTGAAAATAAAAAATAAAAAAATAAAAGCTCTACTATACTCGGAATTTTAATTCGATTCCAGATTTGACAATTTCAGTGTTGCAACGTTATGACAAGTACTAAATAGTGACATTGCGAAATTATTCGATATGGAAATGCAATATTTCTGGATCGATTCTTCTCGTTTATAATTTTGCTCTCGTAAACTAAGTATATCAGGAAATTAAATATTTCTGAACCGATAATTTAGTTTGACGATTAATTAACGATCTGAGACTTTTCTTTTATAATTGTGTGTGAAATAAATAAAAAAATGTAATCATGAAGCAACATGACAAATAAAACAGATGGATGTATTATGGTAATAAGTTATTTTATAAATTGTCGCCGTCATCGCTATCGCTATCCTGTCACTTTCTGTAACATTTATTATAAAACACACACACTGATTGTTTATCGATTTTTGTGTTCATCACTAGACTATTATATGTGGTATCATTATTTCACAAAATGACAGTAGCTATTGTCAAATCTGGAATCTAATTAAAATTCTGACTATAGTTTATTCGAACCACAGAGGGGTTCTTCGTCATAAGTAACGTGCGCGGTCGTGGCGATGTCGCACAGCCTACTAAGAAGGCTTAGACTCAATGAGTAACCCGCAATTTTATTGAATTGATCGGTATGAAATTTCGTCAGGATCAGGGATCAATCTTATACTAATATAAAGCAGAAGAGTTGGTTTTTTTGTTTGAACGCGCTAATCTCCGTAACTACAAGTCTGATTTGAATAGTTCTTTTTGTGTTGGATAGCGCTTTTATCGAGGATGGCTATAGGCTATAAAACATCACGCAACGACCAATAGGAGCTGAGCAGAGCGTGTGAAACCGCACGGATATAGCTAGCCACTGCATAGGATCAGGGGTAGATTATTGTCTGAAATAACATATAGGCTACTTTTTATCCCACGGGAATGCGGCCGAAGCCACTGGCAGAAGCTAGTGAGGAATAATTCTTTCTACATCTGAAACTCCTATTGTTCAAGAAAGGTGTAAGCTACGGTAAGCTACCTAACATCAAGTTGGAACAGAGTAGACTTAATTTTTAATTTTAATTTATTAACGGAATCATTAAACAGAATGTTAACAACACATTATATATTAGCAGACATACAGACAAGCACATAAGCAAGCAAACACAAAAGCCTGAAATTACATGCAAATACCATGCAGGTGCTGAAAAAAATATGAAAAATTTCATGTTTGTTTATCTCTGAAAGTACTAATTTTTATGTTTGACCATATTTAATGAGGACGATGATTTTTAAAATGTGTTTTTTTGTTACTTTTTTATGGTCAATTCAGACCGAGACGCGACGAAACCGGAGGAAAGTCATTACAAAAAATGTGTACCTTTTCGTGTAGAGAATAAATTGTAATTTGAGTCCAGCACGTCGCGTCTCGATGTGAGCTGAACCTTAAGTACTTCAGTCACGTGACAATGGAGAGATTTTTGTATGCCGGTAAAAAATTTGGAGAATGATATAGGCTACTTTTTGACTACACCTACGCGGACGACGCTGTGGGTAACAGTCAGTTACAACATAACTGTTGAACTCGTATGAAAGACCTACCTTCAAGCCTAATTCAGGGTCTAAAAATTATGACTACAAATCAATTTCCTAATAAAAAGGCTGGCAACGTTTCTAGTGTTGCGGGTGTCCATGGGCGGCGTCAAGCTTACCATCAGGTGATCCGTCTGCTCGCTTGCCAGTCTATACCATAAAAAATGTGAAAACAATACTATGTAGATACTAAGTATGACCAAAATGCATGAAAATGACAACATCACATAAGCCAAACTTGATAAGACTATGACATACAATAAAAGAGCAGCATTACAATTATCGTCGAGCAAAAATAAGTCTTATATTCATTACAATATGCACGATACATAACAAAAAATATATGCAAAAATGAATTAAAAACATCTCTAAGGATGACGAGCAATAATGAACTTTACATTCAGGACAATACATGTGACAATGCAAGACATTACATATATGCACGATACATAACAAAACAAAGAAAAAAAAATGATTTTCTAAAGATGACGAGCAAAAATGACCTTTATAATGACACTGCAAGACAATACGAATGACATTGCAAGACAAAATAAATGATTTTAAAATAATGAAACTAATCAACAAAAAAAAAACATCACAAAAAAGCGAAAAAAAAACTGAAAAAAAAACCTTTTCAACCCTTGGCGATATGGTAAGAATATCGTAGGTTTTTCTCATGGTCGCGTCGAAATTTCGGAATAATGCTTCGACACGAGGCAGTTGTGACAAGTTGAGGGACTTCGGCCTCTATTGCAACCAACACCAGGATAAATGGTATGGTTCGTTTTTTTGTTTATTTTTACCCATTTTTAAGAGATTTAGATAATTGTAAAAGGTTATATACAACGTAAAAAAACATGAACTATTATTATTATTATAACCTTCGTGAGACATACTAAATTAATTATTAAGTCTTTGGTTAACTCACGTAACTGTTTAACGAGAAACTCGACTAGTTTCAAGCCATTCCAGAGGCTCATATTCACGAGCAGCATTCCGCGACACAACGCGGCGACTGTCTCTAGCGTGGCTAGAAACTAGTCCAGTTCCTCGTCAAAGAGTTACGTGAGTAAGTCGAAAATGTAATTTAAAATGATTCATTATATTAAAAAAAATTAAAGCTATCGAGTTCTGAGTACACCTACGTAGATGACAGCCAAAATGTCTATATTAATATCGATGTCAGACATTTTTTCTATGAGGGTCTCAAAAAACTACGGTCTCATAAATCTATTTAGTAAATATTGGTTATTTATATTAATATTTCGATAAAAACCAAAAACTATTAAGTAACATACTTCATTTGTAAATAAAAAACCAAAACCAGGAAAAACCAAGTCTTAAAATTTTATACAAGAGTTAAAATCAAAATTTTAGTAATAAAAAAATCAGGAGTAGGGTAAAAATAAAGAAAAAAGACACCAGTACACCATTCACCAAAAACATACAAAAAGAATAAAAAAAGTTTAAAAAGAAAAAAATAAATATGATGGAGTTTCGTTTAGGAAGATATCCTCTCGCGTGTTTCTCGTACACACGGGTGTACGAGAGAGTTGAGTGCCCATCGCGCAATTGTACACAAGGGTGTACGAGAAACGCGCACCGATTGGATATTATTTCTGTGACGTATATTCTCAAGTTTGCAACCCGTTCTTTATTTGATTGAACAGAATAGTTAATCGCTTTTCTATTAAAATATTTACCCGTGTGTACGAGAGGCGCGCGAGAGGATATTAACTGCAAAATTGCAATAAAAATATAAATATCACATTCATATGTTAAATAATACACAAAACAAACTTCACCATATTTCTTAAGAATTTTAACATAAAATAAATGGTACTGTCAATAGCAAAAGTCGTTAAAAACATTTTTTAATTTTACAAAATAACATTTTACTTGTCCCACTGTAATAAGCAACTCACCTATTACTGTGAACACCTTTACCCAAACCGGGATCGAACTCTAAACTTCCTAATACGTGGTCTCACTTACCAACCTGAGGCGTACGCGTTAGTTTCACGTTTAAACGAAACGAAACCGCATTAGGCGCTCTGATTGGCCGGCTATAAAGAACCAAGCAATCCGGGCGCCGAACGCGGTCTCGTACCGTTAACTTTAAACGGGAAACATACTTGCCTTCTAGAAATATGTAAAAATTGTAAGATTTTTAAGAGGGTAAATCATCCAATGACTCCTCTTGCCTTGTGTGAGGCGAGAGAGTGTCACTCTTACTGACTCCATCAGTCAAACACCACCCTGTTCCTACTCCGGCTTAGAGCCGGAGCCACGGTAACTTATTTCACTTCACTCGCAACCCGAGCCATATTTTCGTTTTACCATCGAAATAATTACAAAAAAATATATGTATCTATTAAAATGCAACTTAACTTTTGCCATTAACAGTACATATATATATATATATATATATATATATAAAACATATATGTGACAAACAAACTACCACCACGCCGCACACCGTATGAGTGATACACGTACTTTAATATTATTGTTATTTACTAAACACACGCTAAATATACTATATATAAAATGATTTTGTAATATATTCGTTAATGTTTTGGAAATTTTGACCTTAATTTATAAGAAATAGAAGTTACAATTTCTATCATTATAATTTTAGTTTGGGTCACAGCAGTTTTTTTTTAAACGTTGCCCCACACTAGGATTTTCTCCTGTGTCGTGGGTGCGTTTACAAACATACAAGTTACAAGTATACAAGTTCAGCTGTAGCCAAATGCCATTTCGCGGTTGTCTACATGTAGAATAGAAAACCTAATTATATGGAATTTACATAAATTTTGACACTTGTCAGTGTCATCCAGTGTCATCCTCATACATTTAGTTTTCTACTCACTCTGTAAACAAGCGGTAAAGTGGCGTTTGGCTAAAGGCACTGAGGCGTTAGTGCAGGGCTGTCCAAACTATATACCCTCGCGGGCTACTCAAATTTTTAACAAAAGCTGGAGGGCAGGAATTAAATATTTTCAGTTGTATAATGACGTTTAACATTGTATTCTTTACTCACAGACTGAACTTGTAGACAAATTATACACTGAATTTTATTATTATTGTTGCACATAAGATGAAGATGTTGAGATTAAAACGTGTGTCGCGGGCCACGTGAAAACAAGCCGGGCCTTTGTTTGGACAGCCCAGGAGGCTAACTCTTGAATCCAATCCCGATCGATCGACATTGGTATTGTGAAATTTCGTACTCTTGAGTTACAAGACTAGCGCCCATTGCATCCGTATTGCGTGGATATTGAATGAACTAAACGGTATTCAGTTTGGCTTTATATTCCGTACTCTGAATGCTATTGTAACAGCTACGATTGTGGTCGTATAGATTTGACATTGAATAATTACTGAGATTTTATTGGATTGGAATGGCATTGACGTTGAGATTGGTTTCAAGAATAAGCACGCTGTTCTAGTGCATTGCCGGCCTTTGGGGGGATCGGAGATTATTAGCAACTGATATCCCGTTCATTTATGCAAATATCTTCGGTGTTTAACTATGCATTTATTTGCCAATGTTATTCAAAAATCAAACCCGTTTATAAGAACCTCAATGTATATTTAGCGTGTGTCTCACATAAATATATAGTGACTATGTAAACAATATTGAAATTAAATATTTATATTTTTTTAGTACGTGAATAATTCAGATATTTATTTTCGTTTCATAGTCACTATTTTAAAGATAAGTAGCCAGAGTAGAGATGTATATGAAATCTTCTTTCGACACGATTCGTAAACAACTTAAATTGTCGTACAAACCGATAATATATCTGATATAAATCTATTAAATTATTTTCAATTAATGAAAGTAGTTTATACCTATGAGTCCCAATGTAACTCGAAACTATACGAGCACGCTCGAACAGTTATTCCTAAACACTACTTCCATTAATTTAGATCATTAACAAGAAAACTCCATCCACTCTACATCACTTAGCTACAAATCTCTACACTACATCTACAAACATACATGTATACATATATTATATATATATATAACTAACCTGTTTGATTCCAGTCTGATCTTTCCGTTTGTCTATGTATCTAGTGTCGGTACCGCTGTCCAAAGAGCTGTCTTTAGATCCGTCTGAGTCGCCACGTTTTTCTGTAAAAAAAACATAGAATCGTTTTTTTATATATTATATGGGACTGACGTTTGACCACTATCTCGCCTGGTGGTAGCGTTGATGCGGTCTACGAAGGAGCACGTCGTCCCATAAGTAACCTATTCACTCGGGCCTTGAAGACACCCAGGTTATATATACCCTTCAGGAAATACAGACTCTGGCAAAGAATTCCACTTCTTAGCGGTACGCACAAGGAAGTTTGATTTGTTTTTTGTGGAATAAGTTGGTAAACGAGCAGACGGATCACCTGATAAAGTCTAATGGCATTACATCATCATCATTAAAAGCCTATAAGTAGTCACAGCTGACCAAAGGGCTCTTCTCACACGGAAAAGGTTTGAGCATTAATCACCACGCTTGCTCAATGCGGGTTGGCGATTTCAAACTTATAATTAGAAATTATAAGTTCAGGTTTCCTCACGATGTTAACCTTCACCGTTTGTCAGTGGTGTCTAGATAATCTTAGAAAGTACATATAACTCGGAGAAAGTCACATTGGTACTTGCCGTTGGTAGGTTTCATGCATGAGAAGCGCGCGTCTTAAGACTCCATGCCACCACAAAATTCAATTTCAGTGAGCTGTTATACTTGCTTCCAAATGTTTAGCAAAAACTCTAGCTAGACAATAGACTTTTTTTATGGACAAGCCATCCACAACCGCCCAAAACCGCTGCAACTCCTGTAAGCCAGGATCTACAGTAGATACAACCATAAAAACACCGGAACACTGAAGTCCGGCGCGTCCCAGGGACATGAGTAATTGTCTTGGTTCCCGCAACGAAGTGAATCAGAAGATACTATAAGAGGAGAAGAAAAAAACGATAGTTTCCACTTCCCTCGGTGAATTACTGCAGGAGACAGAATGAATTAAGCCTAAAGGCACAAAAAAAAGAGAGTGTACAACTGGGTGAAGCCCAGTCGCCAAGCACCAAGGAAATTTGGCTAAAATCTAAGTGGGAAGTAAGTAAGACAATAGACTTACCAGTATTAGGATTGATCCTAGTGGCCCACTTGCCCCGGGCGGGCGGGTCGGGGGCGGGCGTGTCCCCGGCACTGGCGTCGTCTCCCAGACTCTTCTTGGCCCAGGTCGGCAGGCGGCCGATGCGGAGACTGGAATAGACATTTTTTTTTATGAAATAGGAGGCAAACGAGCAGACGGATCACCTGATGGTAAGCGACCACCAGAGGAGTCACAGGTGCGTTGCCGGCCTTTTAAAAAAGAATACGCTCTTTTCCTGAAGGTTTTAACTTAAATCACACACAATATATCTTATATCACTTATATCTTTATCTTTAATATATTATTTTTTATGAAAAATATAGTTTGCAGTTTCGATTCGAAAAGAGAGGTTCTCAGTGTGACCTGTATATATGTATGTACGTATGTGCGCGATTATCTCGCGATTGGCTGAACCTATTGTGATTCGCTTTTCAGAAAAGTGTTTGTTACATTTTAGTTTATTAATCTACTCTAATCACTACATTAATTTATCGACTTCAAGTAAACATCTACTACTACTTACTTACTTTTAAACTCAGTTTCTGAAATAATTATTTTTTTACATACATAACATCACGCCTTTTATTCCCGAAGGGGTAGGCAGAGGTGCACATTATGCCACTGTACAATGTAACACCCACTTTTCACTATTTATGTTATGAGCCCCATGTAATAGGGGGTGAGCCTATTGCCATATACCGGGCACAATTCCAGACTCCGTGCTACTACTGAGATTTTTTTAAAAACCCAGTAATAATTTGTCCGACCCGGGAATCGAACCCGAGACCCCTTGCCCGACAATCACGCTTGCGACCACTCGGCCAACGAGGCAGTCAGAGCAGAGAGCAGTATTATTTTTTTAGTTATTGATATTATCACAGACTATTACTGTGAAGTCTCTACTAACAAATGTGTGAGCCCTTTAATCTTATAAAACCCACGAGAAGAGCAAGGGTGGTGAAAAACCATTTTCTACTCTGCCAATCACCAGCTAATAATGTACAAAGTATACTCACGTGTAATCAGGCACGACCGGGGTACCGAACTTGTTCTCCTCGTAGGGCAGCTCCCGTGGGGGGGAGCCGAAGTGGGAGTCGCTCTCACTGTCCAAACCTGACATTCCGTTACTCGCTGTTGATACTTTCCTGGAAATATTTGGAGAAAATTAGTAAATCATTGTTGTACTTCTTTTGATTATTATTATAGTAAATCTTATAAATCTTATAGCGTTTGTTTGAACGCGCTAATCTCCGTAACTACAAGTGGATAGAACATTTATCGGGGATGGCTATAGGCTATAAAACATCACGCTACGGAGCGAAGCAGAGCGTGTAAAAACACGCGGAAGTAGCTAGTAATTCAATAAAATTCGTTTTCACAAACGTATTTTAATTTTAAGGAACTTTGACTTAAGTGACACTTAACAACTTATCGATGATGATAAAGGTTTAAGTTCGGTGTTTCCGTAAGCTAAGTAGGTCTTAGTTAAGAGATGGTTGATGAAAATGGCCAAAAAAACTCAACAAAATTTTGTCTCACTGAAAATCAAACCGAAATTTTCTAATGTTTAGAGATATTAATATAATTTGCATACTAACTTCCCCTGTCGTATAGCTTGCTGAGCGAGCCTGGCTCTCATGGTGACCACCATGTCATGGGGCACTCTCCACACGAAGATACAGCCGTCTCCTGACGCTGAGATCAAGTGCTGACAGTCTGGGGTGAACCTGGAACAAATATTATCATATTTTAAGTACACTGACTCTTGGTCACTTATTTTGTCAGTTCGATGACAATAGTAGCATGGTTGACATGGTGGCTGAACAACCGGCTACCATCTAACGAGTAGTGGGTTCGATTTCACTAATTCTGTGATCTAGTTGTTTGTCTGCGTTTTTCTAAAATAAAAAGAAACCTATGTTACTCCTTGTGCACCCACCCCTTCGAGGATATAAGGCGTAATATTATTTATTTATTTATTTATACTTATTAAATAAATAGGTAGGTATACTACTTAGTCCTTTCTTTTTGAAATTTATTTATTTTTATCTATTTTCAGCCATGATCGTCCCACTGCAGGGAGTCCTTTGCTCGCTACCCTCCTTCCACTTCTCTCTATGTAAAGCTTTTTAAAGATAAAAATTATTAACTAAAAATCGCGGGTTACTCACGTGAATATACTGAAAAAACCCAGTAGGCCAGTAGGCTGTGCGACATCGCCGCGACCGCGCACGCTGCTCATGAGGAAGACCCCTCTGTGGTTCGAAACTAGTCGAGCTTTTCTCAGTATATTCACGTGAGTAACTCGCGATTTTTAGTTAATTTAGTATGTCTCACGATAGTTATTGTAAAAACATAAAAAATATTCTTATTCTCATTTTTAAATACGTACTTGAGTCCGGTGACAATCTCGGAGTGTCCGTACATAGTGGCCATGCACTCGCCGGAGTAGTAGTCGTAGACGCTGAGTATCTTGTCCGTGCTTGACGTGGCCAGGTATATACCACTGTTGTCCAGGGCCACCTGCCACAGAAAAAACATAGTTTTATTAATGTTTATATTAAGGTTTTGACTGCCGATAGAAAATTGTGGAAGACAAATCATTGGCTAACGTCGGTCCCCGTTTAATGTGTTAAAGGTTCAGTAGACGTGCGACAGTTGCCGCGTCGTGTTGCAGAATGCTGGTCATGGACATTGTCAGTCAGATAACCTCGACAAATTGGTTGTTGTCGGTAAGGTGGAAGGAAAAAGACCACGTGGCCGATCACCTAGCCGATGGTGTGACCAAGTTGCCAACTACACTGGACTCTCTGTTACGAAAGCCCTGAGAGAAGCCGAAAACAGGACAAGATGGAGGGAAATAACAGAGAGAGCAATGAAAGACTTACAGGGGCACGACCTTCAGAAATGAAGTAAGCGATCGAGAAGATTAAGTGGTTTAAAGTTGTAACAAAATCATGCGTTGTAACAAAGACTTCGCCTGTACAAGTTGAGTAAGACAGGACGTACCTTGATGAGCGTGCCGTCCTCGGCGGTGGTCCCGCGGAAGGTCTTGGTGTGTCGTCCGTGCGCGGCGCTGTAGACGCGCACGTTGCGGTCCTGGCACGCCGTCAGCACGTGGCGCCCGCCCGCGTCCACCTCCATGTCGTACAGCGTCGTCCGCCCCGACACGTTCTGGCCGCGCTGGAACTGGTAGCCGCCGTCCTGCGACTGGAAAGTTATATGTTACTCACATTATTATATTTGACTACCTCGTTGGAAGTGCGACTGCTGGGCAAAGGGTCTCGAGTTCAATTGCCGGATCGGCAAAGTATTACTAGGACTACTACTACTTTTTAAGAAAATTAAAAAAATCACAGTAGTAGCACGGAATCTGGAATTGTGCCTAGTATATGGCAACAGGGTCATCCCCTTTTACATGGGACTCACAACATAAATAATGAAAAGTGGGTGTTACATTGTAAAATGGCATGATGAGTGAGTTTACCGGTGGCCCAATTATCCCCCCAACAATCCTCAAATTCCTAATCCCAAAATGCCGGTAACGCACTTGCAATACCTATGGTGTTCCAGGTGTCCATGAGCGACGCCGATTGCTTACCATCAGGTGATCCGTCTGCTCGTTTACCGGCTTATAAAAAAAAACACAAAAAAATCCATAGTACAATAGAACCTGCATAGCCGTGGTGCAGTCACTTAAATAGTTCTTACTAATGTTGCGCAAATTTGCCAATACACAATTTAAACTATATTTTTAATGTATGTTAAACTGATACTTACATGTCTGAGCTGCCTAAAGAGTATAGTTTTGTCAGCGCCACAGGATACCATCTGTAACCCAGCTCCAGAGCTGAGGAACCGAACTGCTGTGATAGAGGACGAGTGTTCGTCCAGCGTCTGCATTATTTGGTAACCCTGGAAACAGGAAGAAAAAGTCAATGTTAGTTGACTTATATACCTCTATATTTTACAGCTTCCTCGTGTTTACGAGGTAGTTTAAAATATGAGTTACGAAGGAGACTTGAAAGTCGTCGAATGTCTTCGTCAAATTGTGGCCTTAGAACAAGTTTAAAGTAATTGAAACGAGACCGGCGCTCTGATTGGTTGCTTTATGGAGCCGGCTAATACGGTATTGGCCAATTAGTCAAATTCAATACTTTTTCGAACTGTCAAAAACGACAGTTTTCTATGAATTGTGACGTCATCGTTTTATTAGTGTCAAACAGCATACTTATTTCTTAAAAATTTGCTGGCAAAATACTAAAATTAAGTTGGTCATAAAATCAATGAATGAAAGTGTGATTATTTTTTTAATATTTTATTGTATCGAACAGTCAAAATTATTTATTTTTGATTAAGAAAAGTACCCAATTGAGTAACTATAAATGAACATACTATGCTATGGCCCCGTGGTGATGGGTGGTGGTCAGCAGATAAATCTATCCTTTTCTGCCAAATTTATCAATTACATCTTCTAACAACTTTATAATATTAATATAAAGAGTCGAAAATCGAATGAATAAATTTGACAGTTTAGAGAAGGTTGGTCTGCCGGTTCTCTTCATAGTTGATTAGTAAGTACAAAGTTACCCGGTCCACTTGGAAGACGTGTATGAGCCTGTCCCTGGAGGCGGAGGCCAGCAGGCGGGGCCGCGCGCTGTACTCCAGACACAGCACCTCGGCGTCGTGCGCCTCCAGGGTGTGGAGTAGTGTCCCGGCGGCGTGCACCCAGACTTACCCGGTCCACTTGGAAGACGTGTATGAGCCTGTCCCTGGAGGCGGAGGCCAGCAGGCGGGGCCGCGCGCTGTACTCCAGACACAGCACCTCGGCGTCGTGCGCCTCCAGGGTGTGGAGTAGTGTCCCGGCGGCGGCGTGCACCCAGACGTTGCCCGCGCGGTCGCCGCACGCGATGTGTTGCCCGTCCGGGGACACGCGCACGCATCTGGACAAAAGTCAAAGCATTTATTTCAATAGGGTAGATGCCTAATTTTTATTTTAATGTCCGTCTAGTCACAGTCTATACAGTCATCCAACGAAGACGTCTAGACAGGGCAATCGTGCGGGGTGTGAAGGGCGAGACGCGGGTAAGCCGATCCCGAGCTGCGAACAAAACAACATCGTTTTGTTAGTAGCTCGGGATATATTATTCAGGGCTAACACGAATTTGTTTTTACAGACTTCAAAAATAGAAGGAGGCACTATGTTCAAATGATTGTTTCTTTTTTATGTATGTTTGTCGTTGCATGACATTTACAAATTATCGTCATGGGTGTCGTTTTATGGTTTTTAAGGGAGGGTTAAAATGATGGTGCTGTCAAATTGTAAATCCAAGATGGCGGCTGCACGAAATTTTAAATTTATCGTCATGGGTGTCGTTTTCATGGTTTTCGAGGGTGGTAAAACCGATGGTGCTGTCAAAATGTAAATCCAAGATGGAGCTGCACGAAATTTGGAATGCACAGCCATGGGTATAGTTTCCATGGTTTTCGAGGGTGATAAAACCGATGGTGTTGTCAAAATATTAATCCAAGATGGCCGCTGCACGAAATTTTCAATTTATCGTCATGGGTGTCGTTTTCATGGTTTTCGAGGGTGATAAAACCTATGGTGCTGTCAAAATGTAAATCCAAGATGGCGGCTGCACGAAATTTTCAATTTATCGTCATGGGTATCGTATTCATGGTTTTCGAGGGTGGTAAAACCGATGGTGCTGTCAAAATGTAAATCCAAGATGGAGCTGCACGAAATTTGGAATGCATCGCCATGGGTATAGTTTCCATGGTTTTCGAGGGTGATAAAACCGATGGTGCTGTCAAAATGTAAATCCAAGATGGCCGCTGCAAGAAATTTTCAATTTATCGTCATGGGTGTCGTTTTCATGGTTTTTGAGGGTGATAAAACCGATGGTGCTGTCAAAATGTAAAAATCCAAGATGGCCGCTGCACGAAATTTTCAATTTATCGTCATGGGTGTCGTTTTCATGGTTTTCGAGGGTGGTTAAACCGATGGTGCTGGTGGCAGTGATGGTGAAACTCTTTGTTTCAATAAAGAAAGAAATGCTCGATGCCATAAGGAAACTAGATTGTCTTCAAAACACGGGAAAAAAAATTATAGGCGATGTGAAGTTTGAACTTAAAATTGAACTGAAACTAAAACAGTGGATAAAAAACTAATAAAAAAATCCATCACTTAGGCGTCAAAAAATATAGGGACGAATTTTTTTTCACTGTCACTGGGGAACGTTCCCAGAAGACTGGCAGCATTGCCATGTTGAATGGTAATGCTTATTTTCTGTCCGAAGAAATAGCCAGCCCCCTGGTCACCAGTAGAGTGGAATACAGGCTATTTCTTTATGCCCTGGGACCCCAGGGCCCAAGTGCTTCCACACCAAATACCTCAAAACAATGGTTACTCTCTAAATTATTGTTACACACAACTCCTGATAACTGGCTTCATCCAAAGCTTGTCTATAAGAAATCGTATTCTGCGATAAGATCCCCCATTGTATATATTTTTTTTCTTCTTTATGTTTTATGATGTAACATATAGTGTAAATAAATAAATAATTAATGATAATGATGAAGCGTAATATTATCTTAATCCTAGATGAAGGGTTTTAATCTGCCATGAACCTGGGTGGCTGGTTATCGTCGCTGTTCATATCCACGATTAGTCTCACTAGTCTGATATATGTAGGTACATTGACAAGCAACTGGACTACTAATAGGGATGATGACAGGGTATGAAAATTAAAAGTCTAATAAGTCCCTTAGTTAGGTAATGAAAAAATACTAGACACGTATTTTATTTTGTCGTATAAGAAAACCGTACTTAGATAAACCAAATCAAAGTTTAGCAGTGGGAGGTAGCTACGTCATTTTAGAGTATAAATCGTCCTCAAAAGTAACGTCATGCGATATTTCAAATCAATATATCTTCGAAACTATTCATTTCCGTAAGAAAATTAAAAATACGTGTCTAATGTTTTTAAATAGTCTACCAGACGGATATTAAAATAAAAATTAGTCATCCACCCTATTTAGACTGGCTCGTTGGCCGTGCAAAATTTGGGATCTATTAAAAAATCTCATTCAGCACAAACTAGTAGTTAATATATTAAAAATATGCATACCTTACTCCAGTCTTGTCATCATACGATTTAGACTTGTCCTTATCATTGGTGGCCGTTAAATCTACGTCTTTCAGGAATTTCAGTTCGGGGTCTATGTAGAATACTTTGTTCAGCTCCTGAAAATATATAACAAAAATATTTATTATTAACATAACATAACATCACGCCTTTTATCCCCGAAGGGGTATGCAGAGGTGCACATTACGGCACTTAATGCCACTGTACAATGTAACAGCCACTTTTCACTATTTATGTTATGAGTCCCGTGTAATAGGGGGTGAGCCTATTGCCATATTCCGGGCACATTTCCAGACTCCGTGCCACTACCGAGGTCTTTACAAACCCAGTAATACTTTGCCCGACCCGGGAATCGAACCCGAGACCCCTTGCTCGGCAGTTGCACTTGCGACCACTCGGCCAATGAGGCAGGCAGACATATTAATTATTAGTAAGTTCGAATGAAATCATTCTTTTCATAGACGCCGGCGCCGTTTTGGTGAAGTTTTAGTAACGCCACGTATCGTGAGGTGTTGTCTTTGAAGCCCTAAACACCGGTAGCTTGGATTATTCTCCCGCTACTTATCGATTCATATTTTTAATATGTAACTTTAGAGGACATACATAACATAACATTAACATAACATCACGCCTTTTAAGGGGTAGGC